CTTTGATCAGTAGATCCCAATACTGTGGTTCTGTTAATGTGTTTTGTTGCTTATTTACTCATAAATAAATTCTTACTTGTGCAGTTATTTAGTTGTTTGTCCCAAATGTATCCAAAACAGCATATTAAAAAGCCTTCTTTGTTGAAAATAATTACAGTCAGTTTAAAAACTCAAATAAAACCCCCCTTTCTCTGTGTTTTTTTTTTCGCAGAGAAGAATAAATTTTACCTTTTACAAATTGAATTGGAAGTAATTCCCATGAAAGTCTGACATAATACCAAATAGAAAATTGTCATTTTTGGAACCATTTAAAAAGATACTTAGATGCATGACAGAGAAAATGTTTCCATTTCTTCCTGCTCTTTAACGATTAATTATATGACCTATGTGAAAAGATAACATTCAAGTTGACCTGGAAATATAATTAAGGAGGTATTATAGGCCTTTCAACTGCCGCTAGGGGTCGGTTTTATGACTCACTGTTGAAACATGTTGAGAGCAGGCTCGGGGGTATCTAACTGTTTACACGCAAGGCAGTTTTTAGCATTTCCCAAGTGTTTCTTTGCTCTCAGTTCAATCCAGTGGCTTTATAGCACCAATGTTAAAATTATTTACTGTATAGTTGCGGACACCATTTCACTTCATATAATTCAAAGTTTTAATTAAAATAAAAAGTGAAATCTACCCTCCTTCTTAGTTCTAACCTAATCAAATTTTTATACTCGGTCGTTCCCCTTCGTGCTTAGTAACACAAGTAAGATGATCAATTGCTGCATTTACTTGTAAATATATATATATTTATATAGGAAGCGAAAAAGCGCGAAAACAAAAAACATGACATGAAATTTTCTTCTTCATAATAATCGTCAAAGAGAGTTAAAAATATTGAATATAGTCTGTTCCCCATCTATTTGACCCTGTTATTTCAGGCAGAGTGAAGGCATTCTCATGGTCAACACTTTTGTGTACAAAACAATGTAAGGAACCCTTTTGTGTACATAACAATACCAATGCTGAAGCAGCCTATATGTCATTCCTATAAACGATAACTCATAAATCGGCACTTAGTTGGTCATTTTTCACACCTGAGTTACCTATCCTTAAAACACAACATCGGAAAAGTCAATTATAAATAATTAACCTTTTTAATGATGTAATTAAATGTATGCATAAGTTATTATCTTTTTTGATAATTTCATGTACCTATGAATCTATCTATGCAATGTTTTTTACCATATGTGCAACTTGAAAACTTAGTTGAAAGGCCTAATACAGTATTATTTCAATATGTTTTCCAGTCCGTTTGATGCTCAAACGAGCATTTAATTATGCGATTAGATACAGTCAAGCTTTATGTCGGAAATGATTCACACGAAAAGGTAAAAATAGGGCTGTGTTATTAACCAACTCCCAAAAAATTTTCCTGTTTAAGTTGGTGTACATCCGTGTTTTTAAACTGAGATCTTGTTTTATTAGTATGGAAGCATCCTCAGGTAGGCGGTGTAGATACTATTCAGTAGATAGGATGGGACTATCTGCAAAAAAATATTGATAAGAAGCTTAAATAATATAAAAATTCTACATGAATCGAAAGTGCGTTTATCTCAGCAGGGTACCAGGTATTGTCTTCCCACAAATTTTTATTAAAATAGAAAATTTGGTGTTATGACTATTTACAGAAAATTTGGTGTTATGACTATTTATAGTCATAACACCAAATTTTCTATTTTAATAAAAAAATTGTGGGAAGACAGTATTTTATGCTTAGAAGTTGTTCATGTTCCAGGATATAAAACTACTTTTTATTTTTAAAATCACTTTTCCACCTACGCTTGTACGAAGTTATTTTTGTTGAGGCCATCTTTAATTAAAAGAATTGTTTACTTGCCCTCTCCCGGCTCAGGGTAAAATTTATTTATTGAGGAAATCGCTTCATGGGGATATAAAGCCATTACCTTATTTGTAGTTTTATCACCAAGAATGACATTGAAAATGTAAATATTAGCCTATAACACACGAAACATTTTAAATGTACGATAGAATACACATTTGGAACTATATATGCATTTTGAATACTTTAATTACACCCAAATGTGCTGTACTTAATTTAATTAATTACAATTTCACTGTTAAATGCAACAGTTGCGTGCTTAGTGAACATTGAATGAACACAAAATATTGTTATTTACTTTCAGCACACCAAATTGTTAAGGAAGTGTTAATTTAACTTGTCAATTATACTAGTTTTCAAATTTGTTTTCTTCTACATTTTCTTCAAATAGAATACAACACTTTTCGATGTACATATATGTAGCTTGAAAATCTTAATCTGGAATGAAATTGGAATGTAATAAGTCAGAGATGATAAAAGTACGAGCAAGTTCCTTAACTAGGTATCCTATTGATAAATACGAGTAGGGCCATTCAAAAAATACGTAGACAATGCTTCTCATCGTCATATAATAATTACAAAATTATAGATCAACACATTTTCGTAAACATAAACATTTATTCTGTCGAAGTGTGAAGTTTCATTCCATTTGATTAAATTGAACTCATGTTATCCAAAATTTAAAGTAACATGTTTTGTTACCACGGAGCACGGTTAACCAACATTGTAACGTCAAAGACAACTTTGAGAAAGTTTGTCAGAATTTTCATAATTTCAAACACGGTTTTTAGCATCTTCTCCATTCAAAAAAAAAACATATTCATAACATTTAACACCTCGTTTGCGAACAATTGTACAAACATAGCTTGGATAAGAATGTCATAGTTTTGAAATTCTTTAATTTACCATGTAACTCTATTTATTCTGCAACAGTGAAGCACACATCACGTTCAATTACGTTCCTAACTCTTTCGACAATTTTTTTTACTTTAACCTGTTTCTTTGCAGACAATCCATCGTCCCATTCAAACTCGCTACCACTCAAAAATTGTATTTTCCATTTAATAAAAATACACAGATTATTTTACATAGATCCTGGTTTATACAGATTATTTGAAGCTTGTAGAAGAAGTTTCCCGAATGTAAAGTACAATTTTATTGCTACTTGCTGCTCCGTGACGTCCTCCAACGTCGTGGTTTTTTGCTTTTTTTTAATCAAGTCTTTATGTATTTAGAAACTGATATCTTTTAAATGGAGCGACATATTACATAACCTGATTTCATTTTATTTAATACATCAATACTTTATTTGAATATGTAAGTTTTATTTCGTTTCAGCTCCATTTAATAGAGGTAATATTATAAAGTGAAAATTAGTAAATTACTCAATTTTGACTGTGCTCGGTGACCCCATTTTTGCTGTTTTAAATCCTTGGTAATTTTAATAAATATGAAGATACATTCCAATTTTTTTACTCAAATTATTTGAATCTGATGTTAAAATATTTGTGCCAAATTTGGATATAATATGACGTTAAATGAAAAAGATAGGACAAAAGTCTACGAACTTTTTGAATGACCCTCGTAAGTTAATAAAACAAGGAATTCATTAGTCGTAAAGACTACATGTATAGAAATTCTAGGTTCGATGCAATGATATTGCCAGCAAAAGCAATATATCATTAGGTCAAATGTTGACTGTCGCTTTCCATACCAATTGTCTATACGAATTTTTCCGTTTGCTCCGGTCATGACTAGGAGCACGTGGTGGGCGTGACCGGTCAACTGTGGATGCTTACTCCTCCATGACACCTGATCCCAATTCTGATTTTTTCCCCAGAAGTCTGCATTGATTTGATCCGGATTTGTATTGATTTAATGGACTATTGAACTTGATTACATTTTGTTGTCTTCATACATCATTGTATATGTTGTTATGAAATAGAATAATCATGGTTGATTGAAATGTCTTTGAAATTGTCTGATTGTATCATTTTATAAATAACCAATCAATGTTTGTATTACAGCTAATCAGAGTTCGACAATTATTAACTAATCAGTAGTAATAAGGCATAGGAGAAAAGGTATATATAAAGACACCCATATAGTGTTTGGTTACTTGGTTGTTGCTCATTGCTGCAGTAACACCTCTTTGTCTATGTTCTTGGGCTGTATCGAGAAACAACAGAATTATTCGTTATACCACTCAGCTCAGAAAACTAATTCCTTAGTGTCCTTAGTGTCTCAGTAACAAGTGTCTTGGTGACTTTAGTTTGAATAATAAAGGTGTCTCTGTGACTTGTTAGGGTGTTTTTTACTGTGTCGGGAAACAACAGAATTGTTCGTTAAACCACTCAGTCTGCAGCTACAGAGATAAAATTTCGATTTTTGATTTTACATTATAAGTGTGATTCTTAGGAAGGAAACCTAAGAGGAATCAATTGATAATTCTTTTTACATTGTAAAAAAGTTTCAATATGTAGCCTCTAGATGTTTATTATACGAGGTGATATGTGCGAATTTCTTTTGTAGGTAAATTATAAAAGATAAAAGATAAAATGAAATCTTCAATTACAGTCATCGTTGGCATCATTCTTAATTTTCAGGTAATCTCCATATCAATTTAATGTAGGTTTCTTCTCTGGTTTCTGACTAGATGAAACATTCAAAGTATATTTGCTTATATGTCTTATATATTGAGGTGTAAGGAATTTAAAAGACCATATTTTTCTGTCCTCATCACAATTGTACAACTTCAAATAGAAATGGTAAACTGCGTTTAAAAACTAGCAGGGACTATATTTTTGGCGGAATGGTGGCGTATGAAAATATCTTCTTTTCTGCCTCTCATAATTATAATAAAACAATGAATTTAGTTATAATTTTTACACAATCGAAGTCTTGGAGAAATTTTCAAATGTAAGTTAGATTAATAATGAGGGACTAAACTTTCAAAATCTATCAAATAAATATGATTTTCCAAACAAATTAGAACTTTATTAGCTTTTAAACGCTTCCTATCAAAGTGCAGATTTGAGCCAAAAATCCATAAAAAGTATTTTTTCTCTCTTAGTAAACGATCAAAACTTTTTGTTTTTGTATCATTTTGTACATTTATAAGACTTCTTTATTATATGTGAAAATGAGAAAAAGTTAAATATAGGAAGCAAATGAAAATAACTAATATATCCTAAAAAATTAAGAAAAACAGAGAAAATTCGGATTAGCCAATATCAAGTTAAGTTAAATTATTTATGTAAATTTGGTAATATCATGCTGTAGAACCTATATAGTAATATGTTTTTATGCAAAAAGAACAATCATTAAACTTTTGAAATAGAAGTAGGTATCACATGCTTGGCAACAGTTATTTTTTAATTCTTAGTGTCAAGGAAAAAGATAATGACCTTGACCTGACCTTGCCTCTAATATAAAACGGTCAAATTTAATTTCACTGATACTATCACTTACTGGTATTGTGTTCTTGATTCTGTGAAAATTTCATTAATTTTTAAATATTAGAAATACGAGAAGAATCCTACCTTAACATGATTTACATCCTATGTACAGCTGTATTTTATGCTTGTTTTTACTTTAAATTGTATGCTGTGTATTTTTTTAACAGGTCACAAGAACATTTTCGACTTCCTGTCAACAAAATCTGAAAGTAACATCATGTCCTAAATCTATTAAGGCATGGAGAGAGAGGGAACATTTAAAGGGATGTTATGTGCCTCAAAATACCTGTGCTGCATTTAAAAGTTCAAATTTAACGTTCGTTTATCATTGTTTACCAAATGAATTTTTGAATGCAACGTACGAAGTCTGCATGCCTGCAACATATATACTAGGTATGTGGAAGACTGAACAAAAATTCGCCAATGTTAATATTTAAGGAATGGAACATGAAGATATAAAAATCAGAAATCAAGCTAACAAGTGCATTGAAACAATAAGCAGAAGTCTCTGTCCTGTCGAGACTGTAGCTCTACTGGTTTGTACTGATAACAAAGGAAAAGAAAAGTTCCAGTCGAGACTTCAACTTTACAACATCATTAAAGTATAATATTCCTTGATTAAGTCTCCTTTTGTGGCAAGACTGCAATAAGACTGCAAATGTAGAAGTAGCTTTTATTTTACAGAATTTTCAATTTTACTTACCATGGCAAAATCTTTTTTTAACTTGAACGTATTGCATTTTGAAACCAGTAAAGTCATGATAAAAAAAGATGTATTTGTGAAACACTGTGCACCCGGCGGCAACAAAGATCGAAAAACGCTAATTTTAGCATATGTCATAGTCGAGGTCACAAGGTCATTGACCTTGGTGTCATTTGAAAGAACTTGGATAGTTGAGTATGCCTATTAAATATGAAGTCTCTATCTCTTATGGTTCACAAGTTATGGTGAAGGTACAAAAACGATTTTAGCATACATGTCACAGTCAATGTCATTGACCTTAAAAAGAGCTTAAAGGTCATTGATTTTGGTGTCATTTAAAAGAGCCTAATTAGTGGAGTATGCATATACCAAATAAGAAGTCTGAATCTCCTGCTGTTCTAAAGTTATGCGAAAGTTTCGAAAAAGCTATTTTTAGTATATAGGTCAAAGTCAAGGTCACAAGGTCATGGACCGTGGTGTCATTTGAAAGAACTTAATTAGTGAAGTATGTATTCCAAATATGAAGTCTCTATATTTCATGGTTTAAAAGTCATGGGGAAGGTTAAAGTTTGCAGATAAACAGATAAACAGACAGACAGACAGGACAAAAACAATATACACCCCGGATCTATCGTTCGTGGCGCATAATTGGAATAATCAGAACTGTAGTTCTCCGGAAAAAATTATTGACCAACCTGAGAGCTAAATGTTATAACTTCTTTTTTAAGACTGCACTGACAAAACGCACTCCTGGCAAACTTCACCTACAAAGCAAGTGAGATAACTGTAGATTTTTTTTATGCGCCGGGATCGATAGATCCGAGGCATATATTGTTTTTGTTCTTTTTATCTGTTTGTTGTCAACTTTAACCTTCGCCATAACTTTTGAACCGTGAGACATAGAGAGTTCATATTTGGTATGCATACTTCACTATTAATAAAGTTCTTTCAAATTACACCAAGGTCAATGACACTGACCTTGACTGTGACCTATATGCCAAAATAGCCTTTTCAAATGTTTGCCATAACTTTTGAACCATATGAGATACACACTTCATATTTGATATGCATACTCAACTTATTTAAAAGTTCTTTCAAATGACACCAAGGTCAATTACCTTGTGACCTTGGCTGTGACCTTTATGCTAAAAATAGCCTTTTCGAACTTTCGCAATAACTTTTGAACCATAGGAGATAAAGACTTCATATTTAATTGGTATGCATACTCCACTAATTAAGTTCTTTCAAATGACACCGAGCAGGCTTGGGACGAATGACTTTGTAATGTAATGCATTACATTACCATTACTTCAACAATTTGGGCATTAAATTACCATTACCATTACTCTTTTGTTAAAGTAATGCATTACATTACCATTACTTTAGTAAAGTAATGCATTACCATTACCATTACTTTTGGAGGATTTTTAAAAAAGAAATTTATTCAAAACATTGCAATTTTTTTTCTTAAGCATGTATCCACCCTCTTCAAAACTAAACATGATAAATGGTAATTCAAATTTGATTTCAAGTTTTTGTATAAATGACATTGTTAATAACTTACATTCACAGAAAGTTCAAACTTTTAAATTGTCAGTTATATAACACATGCACAATATCCACTTTTTGTGCATATATCGGTGTCATGAGGAAATTTAACTTTTGGGGCACTTTAATCCCTGCCTAAAATATCTAATAATAAAGCATAAAGGCTATTTTTATTAGTACTTTATGAAAAAATAAATGCATTGACATTTTTTTGGAAAAAGTAGACAGGATGTACATGTTGATCTGCTAAACATAGAATTCCTGCATGTCTTCTATTTTCTTTGGTACAATGGATTATTCAGGGTCAGTACAAGCTAGACCAGCTCAATTAATGTTTTATAAACACGATTGGTAATTTGGAGCATTTCTTCAAACAAAGCATTGTTTTAATTGTTACATAACCCAGAGGCACGGTGTGTTTTGATGACATTCTAGCAATTCAAAAGGTGGTAATTATCAGTTTATTAGTGTATCTCATGTGCGATTTTTTAAAGAAGATGTTTCAAAACTATTCTATATAATTATTTGAAATCTCTTTTATCTGAAATAAGTTTTGAAACTTGAATGTAAAGTAAGTGTACTTTCAACAGAATAAAAAGTGTATTTAAATTGGTACAAAATTTTATTTAAATACTTTAACCTTTTAATTCAATTTTATCATTTGCAAAAAAATAAAAATAAATGAATAAAAAAAATAACCTAAACAATAATTTCCGTCATCCATGTCCATTTTAATTTCTTAAAATAGGTACATGCAAAATGATGCTTTGTAATGCTATTTAATGCCAGCATTACACTGGATTTTATGAAGTAATGCATTACATTACCATTACATGTAATGCAAATTTTTGGGCATTACACATTGCTAACATTGCTAGCATTACTTTGAGATCATGTAATGCATTGCAATGCATTACCATTACAATTAGCATTACCCCAAGCCTGACACCGAGGTAAATGACCTTGTGACCTTGACTGTGACCTTTTTGCTAAAAATAAATTTTTCGAACTTTGATGCCGTCGGTCGCATAGTGTTTTACATCTTGTTAAATACATGTATTATTTCTCTTTCTATAATGAACGAAAATATTCTAGGTAAAAGATGTGCTGAATATAATGTTCATGGTAGAGTCATTCAGTCCAGTTTGGAAAACCATTGTGAAACCTGTCCTGTAAGGTACATATCAACAGATATCTATAAATGTAAGTGTATACATGCATTCTTATTTAGTTTTGAATAGTTTTTAACTAGTTCATTTATCAGCTTTAACAAGTCAGTATAGTAAGTTATGATAAACAGCAAAGCTAATCATTCCTAGGTATAAGTTGTTAAAAGGTACATGTATGACATGTACATGTACATGTATGATCTACACCCTTCTTGTTTTAGATCAAAGTTGCTATGACATTCTGAGCAGCTCAGAAGAAGTTTCAACAGACAACAAGATCGAAAATCAAAACAGATATATGTAAGTAAACCAACATATTTTCCTCTCAACTCATATTTTACAGATAATTTTTTAATTTTGCATCAAAAGTTGCATAAAATGTCATCCATATCAGATAAAAAACTACTGAAACAAAATATACCACTGGCTTTTCAGAGTTGTCACCATTCTCTTTTTAACTTTTTTTCAGGATGGGCATTACTCGTTGGAACGTGGTCTTCGCTTTATTGTCAATATTAGCTGTCTCTGTTTTTGTGATTGCTGTTGGGGTTGTTTTTATTATTATCCGGTTGAAATTATTATCTTCTCGCAAAAATGTCTCTGGCGAGCCGTTGTTGACATCCTGTAGCAACTCATAAGGCGGTTTACAAAGGATTCCCCCCCCCCTCTCTCTCTCTTTTGTTGATTAATAAATGGATACGTCAACCATGATATTTTAACTTATACTGAAGTTTATGGTGTCATAATACATACTAGTTGCTGTAGCAACTCATATGATGTTTTACCAAATATTTTTCCCTTATGTACTAGTAGATCGTTATATCAACTTTATTTTATTACTGTATTACTTACACTTAAGTTTATGATGTCCTAATACATAAATATGTAACTATGAAATATATGTTGATGAATTTTATGTATTTGTGTGAATTCAAATCAGATATGAAAAACTCGCTAGAGATGTGTCATGTATTAATGTGTATTTTGCATTGATGCGATTTAAATAAAATGGTTTCTATGATCGTTAGTACAAGAATTAATGTTGCTGTTGTTGCACAAAAAACATTATCCGCAAAAGATGGAAAAGCTATTGCTAAACCTTATGCAGATGACTTGCATTTACTGGCTGATAAACGGGCAACGGTTTTCATAAGAAATTAAGGCAATAATATCCAGTGGCTGTAATATAACAAGCATTCAGAGAGTATTGCATTAGCATTAAAATGTCCCCTACCGGGATCCCCTTTCCTCTTCAGGATGTCATTTAAAGTACTTGTTTATGATTGTAATATATTGGAATTAAATCAATCTGCTTTACAAAGAAGGTCGTGTTTAAATGCCATTAGACATGTACATAGATGCTTTGAGATTGATCAGAACAGCTTAAAAAGAGTTTAAAAATCAATTTTGTACCAAAAATCAAACTTGATCCATGGTTTGCCAGTTAGGTAGAATAATCTTATCTGTTTGAAATTTTATCTGCTTTTAACCTTAAAGAGGAATGTACATAAGGACGAAAATTCAAGTCCTTTTCTCATCGTCTTTTTCTCGCTTCACATTTACACACCATGTTGACATTCGGATCTAGTATACTTTGAGTTAGAATTGTCTCCCGTTTTAATCCACTATCGGTGAATCCAGAAGAGACCATAGGTTTCTTAATTCTGAGTCTGTCCGTCTGTCTAGCTGTCCATCTGTCCCTTTTGGTTTTCCGCACTTTTTTCTAAACGCCTGCAGATATTGAGCTTAATTTTGATATGTGAGTGTATCATGATGAGTTACTGAACAGGTTTGCATTTCATTCCGCTTCACTGATTTTGGCGGAATTTTGACATTTTGATTTTCTGTACATGGTTTGAGATCGGTTCGTGCTTCACTAAATTAATATTCCAAACGATATTATCATGTTAAAAATTATAAATATCTTTATGACTTATTTTGATGGCTTTCCCTCCCGTTTTAGATTTTGTACATGTACTCGTTTTCGAACCCAACCAAGTTCTTTTAAACGCATTTAACAGTGGTCATTGATCTGCATCTTATTAAAACCATCAATGTTTATAAATCACCTAAGTAAAGAAGATGGGCGCATTTGGCGTGTGATCTGCAGGAATCATTTGTACGAAACATTTATGGTTTAAATGTCCATGATTTGGTTGGCTGAACATAGCTGGTCAGATTTTACAAACACGTCCATAGGTTTTTTTTTCATTTAGTTTGAAAGACATTGTGAAATTGTAACATTAGTGTCCGTTTTTCCTAGGGGGTACTGTAACATAGTAATGTTTCACAAAAAATAAACAACCAAAATATTTAATGCATAGATGCATGATACATGTTCATGTACATTATAGAATAGAAGATTAGAATTGATTTCACTCAAGAAACAAACTGAACCAAAATTGATCTAATTCAAAATTTTAATGCATCTGTACATAAAACGAAACTGACAAAATAAATGGTTGTTTGCATGGAAAAAAAATTAACGCCAGATGCCAGGCTCGAACCAAAAACTTTTCGCAACGAGTGCACTGATCAGGTAGTCCAACTTACTGAGCTATTACCGCTACACATATACAACTGATTTTAAAAGGACAAAGAAGCACCACATTCACAAATTTGGATTTTTTTGGGAAAAGTTGGTCTCTGGGTCTTCTCTCCATTTTTTAAAAAAAGTGTGTTCGTTTCTTTGAATTAAAATACACACAAATAATATTTCAAAATAATGGAGAAAAGACCCAGAGATAGAAATTTTTTTTAGAAAAACGTGTTTAAAAATGTACCATTTTGTACCAAATGTCTGATCTGGCCAATTTTCAAGTTATTTTTTAGCAAATCAAAGCCCAATTTCGGGAAAATATTTTCCTTTCCTGTTGCACAGGAAACCGATAAATTAAAAAAATGTTAAAATTTCATGTGACATGTCGATAAAATTTTCACTTTTCAATTACGTCCAGATTCCTGCCGAATGCCAATCAAAAGCGCCCTCGTTCTTTGGTAACCGATTGCTACCCTACACCTGGCCAATAAACAGACATATGGTTGGCATAATTATAAAAAAGCAATTAGCTCTCCACAAAAATTAGGCGTTTTTGTAGGGCTGTTATTCAGTTATTTACTTTCAGCATAGACTGCATAATAAAATGTACATGTATCAATAATTTCCAGTTGCTTTACCAAACATTTTGGTAAACATGAAAATCGTGTAGACTTAAAATGCTTCAAACTGTGCTCCACTGTAGTCCTGGGTATTAAACAGACAAACTTAATTAAAATTATGTGCGGTATTATATTATTTAGCGTGTTTGAAAAAGTTTTCCTTAAAAGTCACGTGGTTACATAGGGTATAAATAGTAAGGCCATGCGGTACATGTAGCACGGCACTCTAAGCTCGCTCGCTAGGATTTAAAGATTACATGTAGTATGGCTGATAGTGATGCAATGGAGTACAATGAATTTGGGCTATACAGTTGTATTATTTAAAGATGGTTATGTGTTAGCAGTATATAATTGAATAAAAGCACTAGCGAGCAGCGTTCCTACTTAATATGTGTTGTGTTTTATTCATTTAGCACTTCGTTAATTTATATTCGGACGAACGAAGTGAGGGAGAATATAAACCCTTCTATTTCACAGGTACATTCTGTATACGGGGCACCATTTGTTTCTACTTGTATGACTCAAATTCAGGCACCCCCCGCTTTAAGCTTGTATTTTGTTAGCATATCAATCATTAACCTTCTTTAAAATGAACTCGTTTGTTTTGAGATACTTTTTTTTCTCAATTAAATCGTTTCAGAAGTCTTTGGACGAGCCTCTTTATTGTAATCCACGAATTTATTCCTCAAAAATTACCTCGATACAAAGTAAAACATCGAATGAGATGCATCTATTTCCGGTAGGTGTTATAGATGTAGGATAAAACTAGAAACTTCCGAGTATTTCATTCCAAACTACCTTATGGTAAAAATAAGTTGGGGTGCCCCGTTTACGAAACAAGTTCCTGTCTTGTATTTTCAGGGAAATATTCATATCTTTGATTTCTTCAATTTTAAAATTTTTTTTCTTTGATGTTCGAATTGACAATACTCACTTAATTAAACTAGAAAATGTTGTTCGCTTCGAGAGAGTCTCTATAGTAAGTTCTTTATATTTGCGTTTTGTCATATATTATTGTGTGTATCTTCCGAAGGTCTGTTTGAATTCAAAATGTCATCTCTTACACTGAGTATAAATTGAAAATCAAATAAGTTGATGAATGTCGCGGTTTCATTAGCTAAGGTCTGTGTTTACTTTATGAAATTTATACTTGAGGCGCACATACTTCTTGAAAGCTATATTTTTAAAGACATTTCAAAACTTTCGTTGACCTTTCAAACCTTGATATAATTTTTTCATTACAAAAATATTACTTCCGTTGAGTATTCTCAGATTTTATGCAGATAGCATGCACATTTAGGCCTGGGTAAACTCAAGAAGGTAAATTACTAAAAGTTAGAGCATACGTCATGTGAGTAGGAGTAAGGGAAGCTGTTGAATTACACATGCATGCAATACCCCCACCCACCCACAACATGCTATGCACCTTGATTGTTGTCAAAAATGGACCACTCCCCACCCACGATGATATCAATCTTGACTTGTTAAAAACTAGTGTTGCAATATATTTTATTTTCTTTCCCTTATATATTTTTTACATAGAATAGTAATACTGTGTGCTCTTGATTACTAGATGATTAAATCTTGTGTATATGTGTGTTTGTGTAAACGTCCTTAATGCAAATTTTTCTCTCGTATGGAGACATTGCCTGACCAGTGAAGTTCCTGTCGCAAAGGAATGCTCCGCATGGCCATGATCTTGTTGTTGATGTGTTTTTTTTTCCAGTTTGAATACTGACACTTGTTACGATTATTACCAGGGCTGTTTTTCTATGAATACACTCAGGCTCACTTCAGGAAGACCTTTATTAAAGATAATGAATATATGAAATAAAGTCTAGTATTTAAAGGTGCATGGACACGGATTTGAAGTTTATATTTTCTGTATAATATCACGACCTATATATTTTAATACCATTGCATACAAAAGTATATTAAAATATTTTCATCTTAATTAAAGTTATTGAAACTTCAAATTTTTGCATGGGTTTGATTGACACATCCTTGCACTCTCACAAATTTATTTTTAATACTTAGAAAAACTGACAATCTTGTTGTATGTTAATGAGAAATATCAAAACAATTATCTAGAAAAATAATTATATTCAGAGCAGAAATGTTAGAAAACAAAACTCCTTCACAAGTATCGTCATTCCGAGCTTAGCATTGTGTACAGAAGTTAGCAAATTGAAAACACCCGTAAAACGTAGGCAGTTTTTTTTAAACAGGACACGAGCTGTTATTGTTGATGTTTACGATTCACCTGGTGCGTTCAGTTGTTAAAGTTTGCTCACTACAACTGCACGGACTGACAATATACTGTGTTTATGTTTTGTTTTCGAACATTTCTACTCTGAATTTTCTGGATTATAGTTTTAATATTTTTCATTTATACACAACAATATTGCCACTTTTTCTAAGTATTAAGCATAAAATTAAAATTTGTGAAAGTGCAAGGATTTGTCAATCAATTAAAGTT